TTGTTCTTCATTTGACAGCGTTAACTGCCCGGGCCTGATTTGGCTTTTGGCATGAAGAAGCGTACCTTTGTTACGTTTTAACCACAGCATCCCTTTTCTTCTTCTAGTTTTCCTTCAACATGTTTGACCACCCAATTCCCCGGGTCTTCCAGAACCGCTTCTCCACGCAGTACCGCTGCTTCTCCGTGTCCATGCTTGCGGGGCCGAATGACAGGTCAGATGTGGAGAAAGGCGGGAAGAGTATGTGCTTGTTTCTATTTTGAATAGTAACCTTTCCTGCCCTCAGCTTACCTTCCCTCGCCTGTTGATGGGAGGGGGTACCACAGTTCAGTGCATGTGTAACCGGAAGCTAGTCAGTGAAAAGGCTGCTTGTCCCAGACAAGCCTACAGGGGTGGGGTTTCTAATTATGATTAGACTTATGGCTAATAGCCATTCGGGTCCCCAAAATACATTACAGGAAGTAAAACTCTATGAAAGATCATTATGAGATTCTGGCTCCCCTACTAAACCCTATTTAATACTTTTTTTAACATAGAACGTCATTGTTCTATCCTTTTTTTATTTTCTTAATATTTCTCAAATGTTCTTTCCACAGTAATCATGCCACCCTCAGCCCTCGATCAACTCAGTAAGTATTTTCTTTATGACTTGAAAACTGAGGTCATATAAGGAAGGGTTTCAGGCACTCAGCACAGGCTCCTTGGTCATGTCTTGTCTGGAATTGTCCCAAGAGGGTGTGTGCTGGGCTGGGAAGTCTGGGCCACCAGTGCCCCAGTGAGGTGCTGGCCAGGGGCTGCCAGCTGTCCAGGCTGGGGGCCAGGGAATGCTCAGCTCCAGGTTCTGCTCTGTGAAGGCAGTTTCCCACCCCTGCACCTGCCGACTTCTCTTAGATCCCGGAAGATTCCGGTACCAGTGCTTTTCGTTGATGGGCAGCTGATACTGTTGGCTGGGCTCACTGGGCTTTTTGCTAAAGGACAGCAGTCTGCTCCCAAGAGGAGGCTGCGTGGAAGGATCTCATCTCCTCCCCAGACGTCTTTCCTCAGCTCCAGGCCTGGATTTCTAAGCCCCTCTGTCCCATGGCATCCATGTCACCTCTTTTTGTAAAAATAAGGAATGATCATTACATTTTATCCCACGTATGTCGGTGTTGATCTTGCTTTTCTCAGATTCATCCCCTTAACAGACGTTGGCCGCCCGATAGGTCCGGTCCAGCTGAGACGCCGGGTTTTGTATCAGGAACATTTTAAAGGAAACCCCGTTGGACTCGGGGTAGCGAGGGTCACATTAAGACCCTCGTGAAAGAGCGTTTTCCTCTTTCACGTTGCAAAGAGAAACATCACTGGGACGCTGCCTTTGGCTATTAAGTGATTCAGTAAAGATTCACAGCAGTAGTTAATATTTGCTGATTATTTTTTAGTTAAACAGCTTTTCTTTAACACCTACAGCTCCTCAGTTATACCGTATCCCACTTAATCCCTACAATGCCTCGGGGGCAGGGGTGATTATCGTCGGAATAATATATATAAATATATATTAAGTAGCCAAGAGGTGGGAACAATCCACGTGTTGGTCAGTGGATGACTGGATAAGCAAAATGTAGTTTGTCCATTTAATGGAATATTATTCAGCCTGTCACGTGCTATATGTGTGTAATATAGCCTGGGGAGCTCGGGGAGACCCCCACTGCTCTGTCTTCTTTCATCCAGAGTCGGTGTTTCATGTCTTAGGCTTCTGGCTGAGATTTTGTTGAACAGTTCTGCAGCTTAAAAGAAGAAAGAGAGACAGGCTTGAAACTGCGATGCCAGCGCTCGAGGCCGAGGAGCCATTCGAGGTCGAAGCAGGAGCAGGCTCTTTGCTGCCTCTGCGGAAGGCAGCTGGTTCAGCCTGCCGGGTGTGGAATTGCTGGTAACCTGCCTTATCGGAGGCTGGCTTTCCCTCTGTTTTGTGTATTTGGAGTCAAGTCGAGAAATACTAGTCTGTTGTGAGATTAAAAAGAAAACGTAACAAAGTTTGCCACCTTAACCATTTCAAAGTGTACAGTTCAGTAGCGTTGAGTATATTCACATCGCCGTGTAATGGGATCTCCAGACCTTTTTCATCTGTCCCCAAAACTCTGTCCCCATTAAACGATAACTCACCATTCCCCACCCCCCAGGCCCCAGCACCCAGCATTCTACTTTCTATCTCTACAAATCTGATTACTGTAGGGACCTCATGTAAGTGGAATCATATAGTATTTGCCTTTTTGTGTCTGACTTTTTTCACTGAGCATAATGTCGAAAGTCATTGTGTTAAAGTCACATGTGAAAGCATGTGACAGGATTTTCTTTCTTATTAAAGCTGAATAATGTTCCATCATGCACGGATATATCATATTTTGTTTATCTACTTATGCGTCCATTGATAGATGGAGTGTTTCTACCTCTTGGCTATTGTGAATAGTACTTCAGTAGACATGGGTGTACAAATATCTAAGACCCTGTTTTCAATTATTTTGGATATATGCCTTGTATGATTTTATATTCTTTTTGGTTTTTTTTGAAGTATCATAGTAATTGGAATTCTTTGAGAAGACCCCAAATTGCTATGTAACATGTTTTCTAAACCTCACTGTAATCTACTTTAAATGGATTTAATCCAGATTAAGAGCTGGGATCTCCCTTTTTTGGTGGCACCATGTCTTGGCTTTACTTATAGATGGTAGTGAGTACCACAGTTCACCACAACATGTGAGCACATTGGAGGGGCACGAGTCTGGACCCCAGACGGAGCAGTACAGTTTCCTGGACCAAGGAAAGGATAGTCATGGAAGCCAGTGGAATGGATGCCAACTCGGCACTGCCTGGAATGCCAGTCTGTTTCGGGCTGACTCCCCTCTCCTGGCATTCAGGTTTCTGCGGAGCCCTTCCTGACCACCCGTTTAACAGAATCCCCAGGGGCTCTCTGTGCCTTACTCTCTCTTCCACGGAGCCTTCCGCACTGCCAGACACGCAGGCATTTTCTTTTGCTTGTTTCCCTTGTCTTGAATGTGGGTTCTGCCAGGCGGAGGTTGTCCTTGTTTCGTTAGTGAGCAGACATCCCTCGAGTGCTGTTTCTCTCTTGCTTAGGTCAGATCCCAGAAGGCAGTGGGCGTACAATAAATAGTTGTTTTTTAAGTTAACGAGAAGAGGAGAAGTGTTCTGGGCAGAGGACCCAGCCCAGCAGGGTTTCTGGAGGTGCAGGATATCGTGAGGCCGACAGTGGCCAGTCTCTGAGGGGGGTGTGAGTGCGACCAGGATCTCTGGTTGGGGAGTGGGGGTGGGTGTTGGCAGAAGTTAAAGACAGGCTAACATGGCCAGTTCTGTATTTTACTAAGCTCACACCATCTAAAAACCGTGGAAACCAGAAGGGAGGGATGAGACTGGGTGTGGCAGAATGGGTTGAGATTCGCTGGGCTTCTTGTAAGTCCATCAGGCTTTCTGTGCATCTTGTTCTTCATTTGACAGCGTTAACTGCCCGGGCCTGATTTGGCTTTTGGCATGAAGAAGCGTACCTTTGTTACGTTTTAACCACAGCATCCCTTTTCTTCTTCTAGTTTTCCTTCAACATGTTTGACCACCCAATTCCCCGGGTCTTCCAGAACCGCTTCTCCACGCAGTACCGCTGCTTCTCCGTGTCCATGCTTGCGGGGCCGAATGACAGGTCAGATGTGGAGAAAGGCGGGAAGAGTATGTGCTTGTTTCTATTTTGAATAGTAACCTTTCCTGCCCTCAGCTTACCTTCCCTCGCCTGTTGATGGGAGGGGGTACCACAGTTCAGTGCATGTGTAACCGGAAGCTAGTCAGTGAAAAGGCTGCTTGTCCCAGACAAGCCTACAGGGGTGGGGTTTCTAATTATGATTAGACTTATGGCTAATAGCCATTCGGGTCCCCAAAATACATTACAGGAAGTAAAACTCTATGAAAGATCATTATGAGATTCTGGCTCCCCTACTAAACCCTATTTAATACTTTTTTTAACATAGAACGTCATTGTTCTATCCTTTTTTTATTTTCTTAATATTTCTCAAATGTTCTTTCCACAGTAATCATGCCACCCTCAGCCCTCGATCAACTCAGTAAGTATTTTCTTTATGACTTGAAAACTGAGGTCATATAAGGAAGGGTTTCAGGCACTCAGCACAGGCTCCTTGGTCATGTCTTGTCTGGAATTGTCCCAAGAGGGTGTGTGCTGGGCTGGGAAGTCTGGGCCACCAGTGCCCCAGTGAGGTGCTGGCCAGGGGCTGCCAGCTGTCCAGGCTGGGGGCCAGGGAATGCTCAGCTCCAGGTTCTGCTCTGTGAAGGCAGTTTCCCACCCCTGCACCTGCCGACTTCTCTTAGATCCCGGAAGATTCCAGTACCAGTGCTTTTCGTTGATGGGCAGCTGATACTGTTGGCTGGGCTCGCTGGGCTTTTTGCTAAAGGACAGCAGTCTGCTCCCAAGAGGAGGCTGCGTGGAAGGATCTCATCTCCTCCCCAGACGTCTTTCCTCAGCTCCAGGCCTGGATTTCTAAGCCCCTCTGTCCCATGGCATCCATGCGCATGGCATGCCAAACGCCAAGTCTTTGTTTGCCCCAGAAGTTGCTCCTCCCCGTGGGCCTGGCCTCTTACCTGGGGTCAGGGTGGCCTGTGGGCTGTGAGAGAAGCTGGTTCTTCCTCTTGCCCCGAGTTCACCTCCTGGGAGTGTTTGGGTGCCTTAAGCCCCACCCACTGCACCTGGATACAATGCCAGCCCCTGGTGCAGTCATTGCCTTTTACGCCTGGGTAGTGTTTCTGGAGGCCAAGGAGGCTGCCAGCCGCCAGGTCCACATTTCGTATCTGGTACATGTGGGCTGCGCTGTGGAAAAGGGTGCCTGGCTCTGGACTAGTCATGTGGCCTCTGAACTTCAGTGTCCTCATCTTTAAGTGGGAACACATAGTGCCTGCTCATTAGAGCCTTCGTGTAGCAGGAGTACCCCCTCCTAGATGGAGCCGTGTGGTGTGAGCATAAACAGCCTCGTGATGCCAGTCGCAAGGAGGCGGTGGGGATTGTTGGACAGCAGCGGTAGAGGCCACACCCAGGGGAGCCTTTATCTGACCTCAGCCAGCCGGTGGGTGGACAGAGCCACAGGTTCCCAGCCTCTAGGCAACGCCTGCCATCACAGGGGAGGGAACAGAGCTGAGCTCCAGTTGTGACAGTGGCGAAAGTGTCTGCGCAGTGACTTGGATTGGGACTGTTACTTATGTCAGTGTTCAAACCTTTATAAGTCACAGGGAAAACTTCACGCAGGTAGAATCTTACAGGCAGTCCTAATTTACAAACAGGGTCACTCTTCAGGTTGGAGGAGGTCGGGTGTAGAGGACCCAGGAACTCTAAGGTGCTTCTCTAAATCACCAGGTGTAGTTTAAGAACCACCAGACCGAGGAACACATGGGTGTTTTCCAGCTACAAGAGTCTTGCACCCTTGGCTCGGGTCTGATGCAGTTTGCCTTGACCTGCTGTGTTCCACTCCCCATTGGGGGGAATTAGAGCCATTATACAGCTTGGGGGTGCCCTGGGGATGGAAGGGCTGGGCTCTGGGTTCTTGGAGAGTGTGCTGCCAGCATTCAAATGCCTCTCGGCGGTGGAGGGACATTCATGCTCACTGCTTCCCTCACCGTGCCCAGGCACTTCCTGGGGCTTCCCCAGCTCTGGCTTCCTGCCCAAGCTTACCTGAGCTGCAGTACAGAGTTTTTAGGGGGATCTCAGAAGGAGTCTGCTATACCTCCTGCAGCTGGGCAGAGTGTGCCTAAACTGCCGGGCTCAAGTGGACCTCACGGTGTGCCTAGTGGTGGGCCGGCCGCCTGTGTTGAGTCCTGGCATCTCCACTCCTGGGTTCTGTGGAGCTGGGTGTGTTGCCGAACCTGTATATCTCAGTTCCTTGTGGATATAGGGGTAATGATAATACCTACCTCGCTGTGCCTGGAAGGCCACCTGAGGGCCTGGCACATGGTGAACGCTGGTGCTACATCAGTCTGCCCAGAGCCTGGCACTCCTGGTCCTGCTTCACATGACCAGCCTGTCCTATGCCTCTTGCATTCTTGGGCCGGCAGGCCAGCAACCCTGTTCAAGTGATCCGCCCCACCCTGCGCCTCACCTCAAGGACCACTAGACTGGTCCCACCCGGAGCAGGTGTTGGGCTCAGCCTCCTTCCTTCCTGAGCTCCCACACCCTGTCCCCTGCCCCGTCCATCCTATTTGCCATCCATCCCCAGCCTGGCTGGGCTCCCTTCCCCCTACACCTTTGCTCAGGCTGCTTCTTGTCCTGGAATTTCCTCCCTAGGCGCCCTGCCCGCTGCCTCCTGCCCTGCCCACCCCGCAGCCACCGTGTCTGGGACGCTTGTTTGTGTTCTTTCTCACCTCTCCAACGAGAAACCTTTGAAGGCAGGGATTTTGCCCAGTACATGTTTGGCACTTAGATTATTTGTGAATAAATTAAAGAACTTAATCACTATTTTTTATTAAGGTACGACTGATATACACTCTTATGAAGGCTTCACATGAAAAAACAATGTGGTTACTACATTTACCCATATTATCAAGTACCCCCCACACCCCAATGCAGTCACTGTCCATCAGTACAGCAAGTTGCCAGAGATGCGCTATGTCCCTTCTCTGTGATACACTGTTCTCCCCGTAACCCCCCATACCATGTGTACTAAACATAATACCCCTCAGTCCCCTTCTCTCCCCTCCCCACCGACCCTCCCACACCCCTACCCTGTGGTAACCACTAGTTCATTCTTGGAGTCTCTGAGTCTGCTGCCATTTTGTTCCTTCAGTTTTGCTTCATTGTTATACTCCACAAATGAGGGAAATCATTTGGCACTTGTCTTTCTCCGCCTGGCTTATTTCACTGAGCATAATATCCTCCAGCTCCATCCATGTTGTG